CAGTAGATGTGCTGATTAGATTTTGGTGCAATTCCATGCATATTAATTAGTCAATTATTGCATTAATTAATTTATAACTTAGAGTCTCTAAAGTTTCGTAACAAATATTTGACTAGGGTGAGTAGCCTAATTTGCATATTGCAATTACATATTCTGTCGCAAAAAAAAACTGGTACCGGTAATATTTCATTGGAAGGTCTGCAAATTTGCAAATTTTAGTATATAATGATTTATTATATCATGATGGATGTTATTTGAGCAGATACAGCGACTAAAAATATCAAATGTATGCGAGTATGGGGAGTACGCATGCGCAGTTACAAGAGTGACGCGGCCATTTTTTCAGTTTGACGAAAAAGCAGTACCCTTTTCGATTTTCATGAACGCAAGTTCAATTTCACTTTGTGTGTCATATTCATCAATAGACAAAATCGAAGACAGATGCCGTACAACTTTCTGCCAATCTTGATTCATAAATGTGCTGGTTATATGTACAGTGTTCTCCTCGGGCCTGCGTTGCTTAGACAATAGCCGCGTAACTTTCGTTTCACCCGTGATTCTGCAGTGTTCTCATCAGGTCTTTTAAATGTATCGGGTCCGATACTATTCTTTCTTTCCACGATACTGTTTCCCTCAAGCTGAGCCGTTTCCAGGCCATTGTTTTGCAATGATGAATCAGAACAGAACAATTTGTGTGAACTGATCGATCCTAACTTATTATCTGGATAATAACCTGCAGGTCTGCGGATACTTCTGCCTACTTTCAAGCATGAATATAGAAGGAAATCAACGAATTTTTTTCAGTATCGTTCCAGACTTTGCAAGAAATTTATATAATAATCACAGTGATCACTACTATTGGGTTCAAAAATTATTTATGATCATTCAAAATATAGTGGCCATGGCTGTTGGTTCAACCCAGTCATCTTCACCGCTATTGCAACGCCATGAGCAGAGAAACGGAAAGCTGAATCCCCATGTCTACACTTAGTCCATGTATAAGGCAGACACCCGACAGCACAGCAAGGAAGTTTGTCAGTTATATTAAAGATATAAATTTTCTATTTTACGTATTGGAGCTACACAACGTGACTGAAAGCACTTCCAATGTGATCTAATTTGTGAACAATCTCTTTGCACTTGACTCCCAGTGTCTTCTCCTCGAGCAGACAGTAATGTTTCACATTTGTTTTCGCATGGTTTCCATCTTACTCAAATAAAACAAAGCAGTTGATTCCTATTTTACTTAGTGTTTATTCTTGTTTGATATTTTTAAACAAAAATGCACTCATTAAACAAATAGTAAATATGCGAGTTTTTTGTTTTTGCCGAACGAGGACAAGGAAGACAAAATGGCGGTAGTTTTGTGTAGGGTCGATTGTGATCTTCGGTTTGTATCAAAAGCACGTCTCACAAATGAAATTTTTTTTTTTTCGAGCGATAATTTGATAGCAATTAAACAAATTTCATGTATGTTGGGGCTGGATCACTTACTTTCAAGGGCTCAAAGTCCGGACGGACATTAAACTACAATGTTTTTATTTATATGTTCTAGGTATGTTGTACAGACTTTTTAGTTGTACTATTTTGATGATTTAATTTCAAGAATCTGTCAAGGAAACAATCTGTTGTTGTGTTCTCGTAGGTTTAATTTAGCAGATTTTACTTGTCAGCGAAAATAGCGAAATTTGTCCATTGCGTCAGGAAGATCTATCTCAATTTGCTGCACTGAGGTTAATTGCGGTTTTTACTACTCCATCGCTAATGACACTAATTACCAAGAATTAAAAAAAAACAAGTGAAATTAAGTTGCATTGGGAAAAAAACCCATAAGAAAATCAAAGCAAAAATTATTCAACTGCAGACGAGACAAACCCAGACCTCTAGAAATACCTCATTTATAAAGTGCCTCATTAGTGCCCTTTGTTTACAAGTATAGTGTCCTTGCATGTTTTTCAAAATGCCCATATCAAAATCATGTGTTTCCATATACAGTATATCATAGATTCTCAGACATCTTGATCAATTTTATTGATGGATTGACCTACATGCAATTACATTAACTTATTAGGCAAAGCCTATACCTTTATAATACATGCTCTGATCACACTGGAGCTATTTACAGTTTAACTTTGATTGGACTTACTACTATATTTCCACAATTTATGTACCATTTTCATTCGTATTT